TCGGCAGGAGGGTTGGACTAGACGACCCACAGAGGTCCCTTCCAACCCCTACTATCCTGTGATTCTGTGATTATCAGTCAAAACCACGAGTATTGCTGTCACCTCAAAGAACAGAATCTAAGCAGTTTATCACAGCTGCCACATGTTGAATGCCATCAGTACTAGCACAATACAAAGAGGAAAAGATGTGACTGGATACTTACCGATTAATAGTACCTCCATCAGCTTTTTTATGAAGCAAAGCTTTCCAGTATTCATGGGTGGATTTAATAATTTCAACCGCAAAATCCTAGTACACATCAAGGAAAAGTTTTATGATTTAAAATGTTATTAAACAGAAAAAAGCCACAGAACTAGTTTATTAAAACATACCATTTCATGTGTTATTTTAACGGGTCTCCTTTGAGGCCTCATTAAATATCTGGAAAATATAACACCCTTTTTATGAAAAGAAACAAACGTCAAACTTCACTATCTGTCAAATAGACTGGCAACACATTCAGGACTTTCTCCTAAGCCTGCATCCAGAAAACACAAGAGACTGCACAAAAAAACCAAGAAATCAGCACTAGATGCGAAACAGACACCTACAGCTGTAGAAAGCTGATCTCGGTCCTAAATGGGACAAAGTGTGTGAGCTATGACTCCTCTGTTACACGAGCACATCAGGGTCAGAGTTAAGGTTTCCCCTCTAGTGGCAAAATTTGCCTTTACTTCATTTATTGCCCAATCATACACTTAAGCATTTGCAACAAGGTAACATGTCAGCTGCTTAACGGTTTTTCTTTGTTTAAAACAGAAGTAATATTGGGGGTGGGTGGGGACAAAAAAGCTTCAAAAAAATAAAATAAGCCCTCGGTGTCCAGATGATGGTATCTAGACTGGCTTTCAAAAAGCTGCCAACAGAACATTCACATTTCCTAACAAGGAGTGACTTGGCAAAATGCCACTGGAACATTGTGCACTTCACCAGAGCTGCTGGAGCACATCCACAGCCGCCTCGCCACATCCTGGGTCTCTAGAAATACTTGAGAATTATTCAAGTGTTCCAACACAGCTAGCTCAGGTCATTTAGTGCCTCAAGCCTGAACTCCAAAGGCCTTACAGGGATATACTGTTGCTGCAGAGCGACACTGCTCTACAGACCAGGAAAGTCTCTAACAGCAGTCCCTGGAAGAACAGGGGAGAGACCAGGTTATGAAGCCTTATAACTCTGTAATTGATTGATTTAAAAAACGGTTTTAGTGCAGAGGGGAGTCAGGGCACCTCTTTACCCAGACAAAGCATGTGAAGTTGCCTGTGCTGGTTAGAAGGCAGTTGATAACTTTCATAGCACACTGCAAAGCTGAGCTAGCTGACATACAGACACCATTCATTAAGAATCTGTGATTCTTTTGACAAAAATAGTCTATAGAGTGTGCAACACATGATTTGCAAAGCACTTTTACTCAAATCACACACAATTTCTTCTGAAAAAATCCAGGTATTTTCTTCAGCAGGGTCTATTCCCTGCTGAAAGGATGTCCACTCTCCTTTCAAACACCAGCCATTTTTACTGTAGATAGTTTAAAATGTCATTCATTTTTTTGTAAAAAAGGGAAAATAAAATTTTAAGCCTGCAGCCAAAAATAGCTCAAATGTTTGTACACAGAATTACCATGAAAAAGTATACCTTGAGCAAATACCAAATATGAAAAAATAATCTATCTTAAACTGTACAGCCTTAAAAAAAGTCAGGAAAATTTATCAGTCATCAGGACATAAAAAATACCTGAAAAGACAATCTGTTCATTCCTCTGACGGGGAGAATGAAAATGCTGTGAAAATAACCTACAAACATGCAGATGCGTGTGTAAGCCTCACCAGGATTAGGACTGAAGACTTCCTGTAATAACCTAAGCATTTTCCCTGAATAAAATGGAAGGCAGCAAACATTACTTGTTCCTAGCCTATCCAAAGATCCCTTGTATAAAATTTCTTTTTGTTAAACCTCCTCCTTTGCAATTCCAAAAGTTCTAGGATCTAATAAAAAGGCCACATGATAGAAAGATGCATCTTTAATTTTGGATTATCTTCACCTTGTCTTTAAATTCTCCATTGAAAGCGAACTGATTTTCTGGTTTTCCATCAGGGACTTTATATAATCGGAACCAGTCAACCGTAGCCTCGAGGTAACCTGGTTTGTGCTTCCTGACATCATCAATACCTGTAGATTCAAAAAAAACCAAAAAAAGTAGAGTACTGGTCATTTTTACTCAGTTTTTGTAACGTTCATTTTTTAAAGTCTCATAAAGGATCTGCAAGCAATTTGATTTCACTGAGCACTTTCACAGTCATTTGGGAACTTCACTTTATTACATTAGCTGCCCATAGTTGATTTCTTGTGATTTCACAACCACACTGAACAGGTAAACCACTTGCCTCCTGCCCTTCATTAATTAAGACCCAAAGGCACAATGAATAAAAGGACCATACTTGTGATAGAGGAAGAAAATGCCATATTTATAGGCTTTCTCCTTAGTAGGTACCTCTTGCAATACCTAGATTATTCAGTGAGGTAGTTTTTTCCCCCCAGCAACTGCAGGGACTACAGGCATTTTTTTGATAATGAAAGAATAGCTAGCAAAAATAATTCAAACACATGGATTTTCAAACCAGCATCTCAATAAAAAAATACAGGTTTGACTTCTCAAAGTTATATTAAAGGCATTCCTTTGTCACCTTACTTCCAAATTCAACCCATTAGACACAAGACACATACATGCCAGGAGCGCTAAACACTAACTCTGCCGGTAACCCCGTGATATCTGCATGCTCGCAGCAGTAAGCCAATTCTACCTTTACCTCTGTCATCCTACCATGCAAAAATGGAACAGGACACAGAGAGGAACACGTGCCATTTGAACGACACCTTTGGAAGGCAGAGATTAACACCGTCCCATTGGGTACAGAGTAATTAAACAGTCACACAGTAATTCTGCTCGAGGGCTATACTGCTCTAGCAAAGACTCAGTTCATGATCTTAAACGTTTACTTCTACTGTGCACATCAGATTTTACTGGGTTGCCCTGTGAGACTATCATCACTCCTGTCACTTGCAATGAGGTCGCCTTATCAGCCCCCAGCAAATTAACTCTCTGGCAATAGGTTTACATGGAAAACCCTTCAATATCATTTTAATTGATTTTGATACAATAAAGGATTTTGTTCTTTCTAGAAGCCAAGTACCCTTTGTAGCTGGTGTAATCCTTCTCTTTCCATCTCTTTCCCGTCTTTCCCTCCTACAGTCACTTCTGATGTAGATGGGAGCTGACTTTTTATTGCTGTGCTTTGCATACAGTCTTCCAGATATTTTATAACCTGACTCTGCCCTGCCCACCTTCCACGGTGTTACTCTTCTCTAGTGTTTTGCAAGTCACTTGGTCCTTTCTCTCTTCCTGATTCCTTGGCATCTAATCCTATCTCTTGCTCTCTCTCCATACTGCTGGGCTACTTCATTCTCTTCTCCCATTGATCTATCTCACTCACTGACATCTCCAGGTTGGCAGTGATTCCTGACAGATACTCTTCTATCCAGTTCTATAAACAGATTTTCATAGTTGCTTAGTCCACAGGAATGGCACCTAGTCACGTGCTTTCCATCTTTAAGTGCCTGTCTTTTTAAATCTAGTCTGTGAACCTGAACATTCAAGTATTTCTGAAGAGAAGAGTAAGAGAAGGGAAAAAGTCTTGTGCTACAGACCATTCAACTCTCTGTAGACCACCAAGAGAGATGACATGTGGACTGAACTGTGAGACCAAATCTATCTGAGAAGATATGCTGAGTGTTCAATAGGCATCTGATAGCTGCCGCTCCCCAAATTCCACTGTATCATGAACTACCCAAAGAATAAAACATAAAACTTTAAAGAACTCTATGCAAATTTATGCTTCTGCACACACTTAATCGGGCTACGTGTTTACGGACTCGTAGTAAAACACATTTTGAACTTGGCTGCTGGCCATCTGCCTGTAAAGGATTAGGGACTTTCACTGGCAGAATCCCAGAAAAAAGCAAGGGCACATAAGGCTGTGCTAGAGGCAGGTCTTCTAGCTGGAACACATGTTTAGGAGTACAAGAAGCCTTTCAGTATGGGGGGTGGGTGGGTGAAACCAACAAAGAAGGGATGATCTAGAAAAGGCTGGGGTCTTGGCTGGAGGCAGGATGCTTCCTATGGGCACTAATAAAACCGCAGCTCCAATTCAAATCGGTTCCAGGGCTCCAGTGTATCATCCTGTTCTCTCCAAACAAGTGAACATCCCTCCTCCCATCTTGAGTCCTTATCATCTCCTCTTGTGAGGTCCGAACTCACACTTTCTAATACCTGTTGCAGAGACAGTATCTCCACAACTCTGTGAAGCTAAACAGGCTGCCGCAGCAATTTCCTTGGCTCCCAGCAATCGATGAACTCCAGGTCTCCATCTCCACACATTATTTAAATTCAAGCATATTTTCTCAGACTGCTGCTCCTTTTTCTGGTTCCTGTTCCAGCAAACTTCTAACTTCTGCTGCTTCTCCGTTCTTCCTACTTGGTTACCATTTGCCTCCTATTCCCATAAAAGCTGTTAATCAAAAACGCTTTATTGTCTACTAACTGACACCCGGGCCTTTCCTCATCTGTTGTTCCTTATTTACAGGCTTTGTTTATATTTCTTTAAAGGACTCGAATATTAGAATAGGCTTTAGGGCAGGCTTTCACTACCTCCTTTAGAAAGGGATGATCATCTTCAGGGATAGAATCATCTCTCTGAATTTCACCCCCTCTTTATTGGAAAATTTTACCTTTGCCAAGGTAAAATGACTACACAGAATCAAGCTACAGCATTATATGGCCTCTAAAGTACGGCTACTGTATATTCTGGTTTTGATGACTTAAAAGGGGGGACAGTGGTTGCTTTTATTTCCTTGGTTACTTGCAAGTTATTCTCCTTCATCCCCATGCTTCACTTCACTATTCTTTATTCTGAAGGGCAGCTATTGGGCACCAAATGAAGTTTAAATGGTTGAAGAAAAAAAAAACCAAACAGCCAAAACATCTGTATTAAAACATGAGTCAGTGAGGAGTCTGCACATAGCACAGAATATAAGGAAAACAGCAGCCCCTGCATCAGTCAACAGTGACGCTACCTCTTCAGTTCATTAACAGGCACCATAGAAAAGCTTGAAAGATAGTTTGTCCTCCACTTTGAAATCCAAACAGCATCTTTGGGATATCAGGAGGAAGAGAAAAATATACTCAGAAAACAGAAGAGTAAGCAAAGAAAGGTAACAGTAAAGATTACGATAAGTACTACTGTGATTTACTGCACTTCTATCTATAGAATATATGCATATTATGACAAAAAAAATAGTTAGATGTCCTTTCTGCAACACACACTGTTAGACACTTCTTTCAGACCCTGCCTGCTTACCTTCCCTTACAGCTCTACACTCACACTGACGTCACAAGGGGCTGAGCAAGTACGGAGTAGCAGGCATGTACCTGGCCTAATGTGGTTTCATCTCTGCAAGCAAGCCCTGCTGAGAGTGCCAGAGCAGAAAGGTCAGGCTCCTGCAGGTACATTATCAGCACGTACCCACTGTGCTCTAGGTGGTCATTTCTTTATACTGCCTACATACCACCATAGGTACTGTTTTTCTGGGAACCAAAGTTAAGCACCAAGGGTTAAAAAGAAGTGTCTAATCACATTAAGGGTTGCAGTTTAGTCTCAATAAGGAAAGTCTCCACAGGCTGGCACAAAAAACTGCTGCTAGCTCTCTGTCAAGGGAGTGAGCCAATGCAAATGCAGATCCCAATTCTATCTGGCTTTACAAAACAGAGCAACAAAAGCATTTGTACAAAACTACCATTTTTAGTACAACAGATGCTGCTTCTTGCAAGCAAAGCTAAAACAACATGCTTGAAGCAAGCTTTCTAAACAAGGTCTGTGGGAAGAGAGGACATGTGTTTTTAATAACATCTTATAAACATTTACAGGAAGCAGCAGCTACATTCCATATAAAGGCATTTGGTGTATTTTGTGCAGCATGGTGTGAGGGGGTAGGAGGGGAGCTTGAGTACAGATAATTAATCTCTTTACATTGAATGCTTACACAAATCCACAACAAAGGTTTTCAGGGCCTCTGCTGCTCCTCTGCATATAAATACACTCACATGCAAGGGTCTATAACAATATATAGTACAAAGTATGCAATATGCTTTGTTTTTGCCATTTAGGGTTTGATCACTTAACTCAAAAAGCCAATCTTGAGTTGCACATTGGAAAAGAAGCACGGCAACACAGCACAGTTAACTATACCCGTCCCAGCAAATGGTAGCACAACAAAGCTGGTAGACGTCATCGACTGCTGTTGAATATACCCATGCACCTTTCCAGTGAGCAACAGCAAAAAAAGGGCTGCTAATATTCCAGGCCGGTAAATCATCTCCAAAATGCCATCCAGCCTACATTTATCCAATTTGCTCAGGGAAAGTAACATGACCTTTTGAGAGTGAGACTTTTCATAAGCTGTTTCAGACACATTTCCTGCTTCAACTGCCAGCGATTCTCAAGACCTCTTGTCCAACATGAAGATACCATATAGATGTAAATAAAATTACAGCGCAAAAACATCTCTGATCCTTTCCAAGCCCAACCTTGTAAAGCACATCAGATATATATGTGAATTCAAATATATTAAATTCAATCCAAATTATGAGATAAGCAAACAAGCACTTTCCATTCCAAGAATTTGCTGCTTCTCCTGGCTAGTATTTTACAAAAACAAAACAAACAAACAAAACCCAACAACAACAAAAAAGCAGCCAGGCGTATTACACCACCAGGATTTAGTGTTTCAGTGCGCAGGGAGCTTTTAAGACCTTTCCCAGACTTGCTTGGTCTGAAGTTCCTTTGCTGGTCCGCTAATGGCCATCTGCCTAGCAACTGCCTGTGCAGAAAGACAGCACAGTATTTCTCGGGTAGCCAGAAAGACAGTTCTTACTGAAATAGGTAAATCTGAAGATGTCCAGTTTCAGTCTAAAAGAAACTTTCTCATACAGATACCTGCCTCTGACATGCAGCTTGTATTTGGATTGAGATTGTCCCCATGCCCACCCAGTATTAACTGCTACAATTTCACACAGATTACCTTCCAAAGTCAGTCCAAAAAGACACTAAGCCCCTGCTATTTCCACCGATGACACAGTTCCCACTTAAATAGGTGTTAAACATTGCTTATCATTCTTGGGTATTGTCACCATAGAGTTTCTCATTGCTCTGTGTGAAAGAGCGAGTTCTAGGCAGGGTTTCCAATTTAAACCAGTATTTATCAATAAATGCCTGCAGGACACAGTACACTGGAGCGCTATGAATAAACAATGAGAACTGCTCACAAGTTGGGACTGCTCAGTTTTAAGTTCTGTGAAGTCTCAGAAAAATCAATTGCACTTATGAGAATGATCACAATCCCAGAAGGAGAATATAGAGTACCTGCGGTGTCCTTAAAGCAGCAAGAGGAGTTAACACACTGCACGGGCTCAGGATGGGGTTTGCAAGTAATCACCACTCTGGTGTCTCAGAATTATCTTTTCCAAATGTTCACTGGGGGCTGTACACATACTGAGCTGAAAGCAAATGTGATGATTCTCAGTCCAATTTGAAACGTTTAGCAAATGATACAAAATGACTGGACAGACTTAGAAGACAACACTTAACCTCATCTTCCCCTAGGAGGCCACCACCATAACACAGCAGCATGTCAATTATTGAGGGAGATACCAGTTTTATCTGTAGCTGCCATCCCTTTATACTGAAATAATTAACATCCTTGGGAAAGGGGAAAACCAAGTATGAAAGGACATATTGTACTGCCTACTCCAACAGATTTGTTTGTTTTCAGACTGAAGAAGGATTGCTGTTAAATACTGCAAGCTAGTCATGTTTTCACGTTTTGTGAAAGCAGATGGGGGCTTTTTTTCCCCCCCTTTTTCTTTCTTTTGTAAATCCTGGACTGCAACTCCAATCCCAAAGGGAAATCATATTAAACTGGATAAGTATTTCTGCACTTCCTTGAATCTCAGGAAGACAGTTCTCTTCTTGAAGTTTAGCATCTGTTCTCTAGTAAGAAAGGATGCACACAGGAATCAACGATAGGCAAAGGTTCCTCCTTCCCTCCTTTTTTTTTCTCTTTTTTTTAAACAGGACTAAAACTCTTACTCCCCTCCCAAACAACCTAAAGCTATAACACAGCTGACATAGCAGTCATTACCCAAAAAAAAAAAAAAAAAAAACCACCAAAAAAAACCCCAACAAACAGAGAGCTTTCAGATAGAGCTACTATGCCACTGGGTTAAGTAGCTAAAACCATCCCAGTTTTACCCCTGCTTAGTGGACTCCTGAATTCTCACCCACTTCTCCAATTAAACTCTCTCAGAAATTAAGGAAAAAAGGTAAGGGTTAAACAGAACAGTGTATAGAAATAAAGTGCTGATTACTTGTCTTTTAACTACTGACACTTCTATAGCATTTCACTGCACATTATAGAGAGGATTAAATTGTTACTAACATTAACAGCAAACCATTACTTACTATTTCCTTAAGCTGAATTTCTTAATCTCTAACTGTCAAAGTAGTTAAACAGTCATAAACACCATGTAGTAATTCATCTGCCCATTATTTTAATCAGCACCAACCCAAGAGTTTCCTTTTCCTCATTTCCTCTTCTCCCCTTCTTTCCCCACAAGCCAAGTATTCTCCATGTGAAAGCAACCTGCAAGAAAACTGAAAATGAAGGGCCAGTTCAGTGATATACTTACTTTACATCCAGCAACCAGGAAAATGCCTCAATGGCTGAGAAACATAAATACTTAAATAGCTGCTGGATAGTCCTATTCCTACAGAAAGGCTACTCAGTGCCTTGGTGCTCCCTACCAAAAAAGAGCAGGCTCTAATCATACATACCTGATGGTATATATGGTTTGTGGTCTCGTAACAATCACTAACTTTTAGACAAGCCTCATGATTCCCAGTAACAGTCTATTTGAGGAAGTGAACCTCCAGAGAAAAGCTGCACTTTACACCTGTGCTGTAAAAACCTAACTCCCTGCAGTTTTAACACATCTATGTCATCTTCTTAATGAACAGTCTGCAAGCAGAATTACACCTCATGCTATTCACATAGGCACATTTTAGTACTTTACTTCCATTTGGATACCAGAAGCATGGTCACGAGAAGAACAAGTCTGGACAGGATACTTTCCCCTGAACAGCTAGTCATCATCAAATCTGATATTAGGGTGAGCTGCACTAGCAGTTTGCTTTGCAAGTTTTCAACCTAAAAGGTGAAACCTGATCATTCACACTAGCCAACAAACCATGGAAGTAACCCAGTTACAAGTGACAAAACATTAGAAACATACAGCCCTTTTCAGAATGCAACACAATGCCTGCAAATATAAAAGGAACACACAAGGAAAACAGCAGTGTGCTACATAATCTGAGTGGGTAAACATGCACTATCACACAGGAGATAACCCTGTAATTTTAAGAGGTCACTTTCTAAGGCAGTTGTGTTTCAGAAGTCAAAAGATTTTCTGCATGACAGATCCTCTTGAAAATCCAAGTGAACCTTTCCAAAAGCTTAGTGTGAAAGCACATATGCCCTCCTTGAAGAAAGCACCTGATGTAAACAACAAGAAAAACAAAACTAACAAACAAACAAAAAGTCTTCCCTTTCCTCAGTCTGCCTCTTCTTGTTCCGGGTGGCCTCAACTCAGGTACCATTCTGCTGTGAAAGTTGCTGACGTAACTTGCATTAAGAAAGATTAAAATACTTGCCATGGATTTTCTGAGCATCTGGGTCATCCACACTGATAGCAATTATCTTCCAATCTGTCTCTCCTTCATCAAGAAGAGCTAAAACACCCAAGACCTTCACCTGAACAATCTCACCAGAAGAACGAATCTGAAACAGAACATAATCACACAAAGATGTGGAAAACACTACACAGAATTTCTCTTTACCTTATAGACAATAGTTCTACTACATTTTTGACCAGCAGTGAACAAAATTGCAAGATAGATGTGTAAACCCAGTACACATCTATTTAACATTACTAACCTTTCTCCCACCACTGCTATCCAACCCTCATTTCTCCAGTCAGCATTTATTTAAGCACACAACACAAGCTAGAAAAATTGTCCTTCTCTTCTACCCTACTTCCCCCACACCTTCTTGATCTTCACCCCAAACTGCAAGTCAAAAGTATCTCATACTTCCTGCCTCTTGACTCTCTACTTTCTCAACTCCTGGTCTTAATCCATCTCTTGCTGTTCCTTCCTCTAGACTCCAATATACACATATGAACACACAACCCTTCCCCAGAAATATCAGCACAACCTGTTTTTGCATTTTCTTGGGAACCTTCTGCCTACCAGATAATATTCCCTTTATAGCTCTTTCTGGAACCCTTGAAATTCAGCTTTAGGTTCCTTTCCTCAACTAAAGCCACCTTCACTGAGGTCACCAATTAAATTTCTCCTTACGTAAAATATCCTAAGAGATCCCTCTTCCAAACTCATCCATTTCATAATCCCATCTTTGATACTACAGAGGATTGCTCCTTCCTTTGCTGCTTCCACATACGTAGAATTTACTTTCAGTGAGCTAAACTTTTCCCCTACACCAACATTTTTTTTTGCTGTACATCTTTTTCATCCACTGACTCCATGTCTCATAACTCTGCAAAACTGCAACAGTTTCCCATCTTCTCCTCTAGAGCAGAGGGCTCTACTTATGTTTGCATCCAGGAGAAAACTCAAACCTACCTCCTCCGCAGGTCTGACCTTGCAATTTTATGTGTGTGACACTGCCCTACTTCCTCATCTTTCAGAAACCTATTCCTATCCGCAGTATTGCTAACAGGGGAAACAGAAACAAAACATACCCGTCCTCAAAAACCTTAATCCCCTCCTCCCTCACCCAAAAGTCACTGTCCAGACAACAGAACTTCAGGGTGGTGTTCTCTTATTTTGCCTTTCATCTAGTACACAGACTTTACCAAATTCTGCTTTTTTTTCTCCTTTTATAAAAATCTACCACTTCCTTACCTATTTCCTCCTCAGATCCTCTATTCATACTTTTGTCATCCCCTGAGACTATCACCATCTTTACTTGTTTTCCATCTGCCCTTCCCTTCAAAAAGTTCTTACCAAATTATTAAATTAACCTTGATAAACTAAATTAATCCTGATAAAGACAAACCTTTGAACCTATTTCACAAACATCAATAGGATCATTATCCCCACAGCATCCTGTAATTTTATCTGTATGGTTGGGATCTTCCCAGGTCTGTCAAAGGAAAGAGAATTATCAGTTACTAGCTGACCTGCAATTACAATTCATCTAACCACTGAACTACTAAGATTAATAAAAACAGCAATAAAAACATCAGCTTTCTGAGAACAGTCTTGCTCAATGGGATAAGAAAAAACAAACAAACAGCCTATGGACTGGCATTGAGTAACTCATCCTCACATTCAGGACAAGTAACACGAGGATTAGTGATGACATAGTAACAAAAGTATTAACTGCTTCTGTGACTCAATAGACACACTTAGTCAAATTGCAGTGATTAAGGCACCAGAGGACCCTGAATATGTATTTTTCTGGTTACTTGTGGTTGTGGGATTAAGCTACAATATCCTACAATCACATTCTTCTTGTATTATTTAAATACCATAGCACTAACATAAGTTGCTTTCAAAAACACCTAGGCTTTGAGACAAGCAAGCTCCTAGGTATGGATTTGTCAGCACCCAATTAGCTTTTTAAAGTTTTTAGATTTAGGTACAAAACATTTCTGGGTATTTTGAGATGTGTACATTCCAAAGAATAGCCAGCAGTTTAAAACCAAAGAAGCTTCTCCTGGAGGCTAGTTCAAATCCCTGCTCTGAGCTCTGTAGAACCAAGGAATCATAGCGAAGTTACACTAAATTACCAGACCAGTACTTGTGTTGTCTCTTACTGCCTAATAATGAGTAACTCATTCGAAAGTTCAGAAGTTTTCCTGGTAAAAATTTTGAGTTCAATGAAATGAGAGAATTTAAACTTTAAACTTTTTTTATCAATATTCTTCCAAAGTGCTTTTTATTTCAAGCTGCATTATATCGATATTATTCTCCTGCTCAGCTGCACTCCTCCACCTGTAGGTTAGAAGAAAAGCTCGCTAGGAATGGTACTGTTCTCTGGACAACACAGCAACTCCCACAATAACGATAGTCCTAACATCATTTTTTTTCTTTTCTGTTTCACAGCATAAAATAGCAGCCACAAATACATATCTTTAAGCCATATACTAGGGCTGAACTTCTGGCAACTGCTGATCATGATGAAAAGTCCTCTTGTGATAATGGAGACACTGAATCGGATTTTCTTTGTTAGAGCTGCTAGTAGGAATCTGCAGTATCATCTAGACTTTAACAATTGGAGGTGTAATGATCCAACTGGTATTTTTAAGTCATTACAGAAAATAAAAATGACAATTATCTCCAGTCCTCTCTCGCTCACAAAGTAACAAGGGAAGTTGAACATTTCTCGTGGGGAAAAAGTCATCAGTCCAAAGTAATGCACTTTGTGCAGGAAAACATTCAAATGTTTAATTTTGGCTTAGTACTATGGCACACACAAATTTCAAAACATTAAATGGAATTGCTGGTTCCCAGCTATACCTACTTGGACACTTTGTCTACTGAGACTGCTGACTAGATACTAAGACTGCTGACTGGGTAAGAACTTCATTGCTATACTCCAGCACCTGCCTGGTATCTCCTCTTCAGGGATCAAACACATAAGTAGAAGTAAACTTTCATCGCTTATGCAGTTAAGTGTAAAGAAAATAAACTATTCTTTTCTAGCTCTATCGTGTTCTTCAGTACTAACTTAAGTCCAATGTGTTAATGTGTTATCCACAGAAATGAGTTTAAAACTTTTCATTATGCTCAAAATTTCAGCCATTATTTGGGCTTTTTCAAGGCTTAAAGTTCTGAATGTGTCATGATTAGTAAAGTCTCACAGTTCAGAGAGAAGTTAACTAAAGCAGCTAAGGTTTCATCTAAAAAAGAACAGCACTGGTGTTCCTCTTTGTTAAAGATATTAAGAAATCCAAATTAAAATTTATGCTGCAATGCATGAAAATCCTAAATTAGTTTTTTAAAAAAATGCCCTGTTTAAGCAGAAAAGGGCTACTTGACAAAGTATTCTTGAACGGCAGACCATGACATTTTAATTCTGCCACTACAGTACAGATACACCAACTAAAGATTTGAGATTTCTTGATAATTTAACTCCTTCCTGAAACACAACACATATTTATACCCACACCCAAATTCTGATCAAAATTTATGGACACAATAAAGCTCAACATAAAAAACATCCTAATTTACAAATCTATCAAAGAGAAACATCCCCCTTGCAACTGATTTGCATTCAGGCAGTACCCAAGATTTACAAGGCAATTTACACAGAAGACAGAAAACTTTCACCATTATAACAAAAATGTTACCTGTGGGAGGGCACCATAATTCCATATATAACCCTTGTGAGGAAAGATATTTGCCACATATCGAAGCTTGCCTTTCTTTATATCTTGTTTAATGGGATTCAACGGCTCCTCAGTGGCAATCTAAGCAGATCATGAAAAAGAGAGAGAGAGAATGGTAAAACGGAAAGCAATTCATTCTGTACCCAACCAGTTAGAAAGCTCCATATGGTAGCATGTGCTCGTGGTTTGAGAAGTATTAAAAGTACAACAGCCTCACTCTAAATCTCAAGGGTCATGTTCAAAAAGCAGCTTGTTAAGGTTTTAAATAACGTTGTGAAGTATGCAAGAAAAAAAATGATTGTAGAAGAGAAAGTCATAAATTTATAAGGAGAATGTCATGGTCAAACATAAATACGGAAAAGAACTTAAGTCAGATGCTCTTCCACTTTATAGTACAAGTTCAACAGACATACAAATGGTGGCACAAGTTCTTCAGACAGGGGAAATGTTTCATTTTCTTCTCATCCCGTTCATTGCTCTCCTATTGCACAGACCCCTCCCCTCTCAGCATACAAATGTGTTTTATTAAGGTCAAGTTCTGCAGAGTCACCGAATGCCAACTTCACGTGGATTTACAAGTTAAACTAGCATTAGAAGAAGGCGTTCTTATTCCCAAAGAAGCACTCACAGAAGGACTGACGCAATTAAAGCTGAACAGCTTGTCATTGCCATCATCCTCCCCAAAACCTCAAATACAAACCCTCTGCCACACAAGTTACCTACCATACACTGTAACCATCCTTTGGACACTCCCCACCACAACCCAGTCCATGTTAGCTCGGCTCCTGCTTACACTCATCTGAATGGCATCCCATTTGTTACAGGCTATGAGCACACACTGGCTCAGGTGGTACACAGCTTGCGCGCATAAGCACACAGATCTTAGTCCATATTCATTTTGCAACATACTTCTAATTTACCTAAAGCACCACCACCAAAGCCATCCCAAAGGAATTCCTCCTTTCTGAACCACAACAAACTGTCAGTAGCATGCACTTATTCCACAAGTAAACCCTCCCCAAGAGCTGAGATCAAGGTTCACACATTTCTGGTTTCACGCTTAATTCTACCTGCTTCTAGTCATAATTTAACAGTGAAGACCTTGAATATGCCACCAGGGACTTTGACAGAAGTGGAGCTCAGCAATGTTTTTTCTTGATGTAAACCAGAGCAAAGAGGAGTAACTGGCAACAGCAGACAAAAGCCTCATGCAAAACAAAGCACCTTCAGGAAAATCAAGGGAAGAACTACAGAAATACAGCAACTGATGAGCAGGAAATCTTGTGCAGGGGATGTAATAGTGGGAAACATTCATGTTAAGGCAAGGTTTAATCTCCTGCAGTCTCCATTCCACCACATGAGCACCTTAACACTGTCTGGACTGCCAAGACATAATCGCAAGGCAAGCAAAGTGCTTTAACGATTAATGCAGGAAATTTCAAGTATATTAAAAGTTCTAGATTAGAGAACTACATCTATCAAGGCAGAAAACTCTAAACCCACTGATTTCTGAACCTAGCAGGACTGCAAACTCTTCTACCCTTGATATAACATGCTGGGAGAAGAGGAGGGAGAACAACCTGAGCTTTATGCAAAGACTTCAAACAGTGTTGTCAATGGGAAATTCTGCAAAAGAGAACTCAGCTTCCACAATAAATTATCATCTTAAAATACAAGGTAAATATCCAAGGTAACCTTGCTTGCAGAACAACAACTGTGGTGTTAAACATGATCTTCTAGCATCAGGAAAAGGAGAAAAAATTCTGAAATAAGAGGCTGGAGAGGTTATTTGGTGTTATATTTAATGATCAAAACAGTTAAGAGCTCAACCACAAACTTCCTTAACATCTGGGAAGCATCCCTAAAATTAATACAAATGTTCAGGAAGATAAGACATAACCTGTTGAGATCTGTTGTTTCACGAACACTACAGATGAAGCATTACTCAGCTTCCATATTGTAACTGCAGAGGAACAATCCACCAGGCTCTACTTTCAAAATATCTCCCTGCAGGAGTAAATGCTGTTAATAAGTGAGGTCCCTTAGTCTTTTTTTCGTCACAAAGAAATGTGCGTTTTCATTTGCAACTCCATTTGTCAAGATTTGGTCTAGCACACTATACAGCAGAAGTGAGAGGAATTAAATCCTCTGAGTGGAATTCTCCATGATCAAGCAAGATAAGACTAAATGCCGGACAATGTTCTGCAACCCAATACTTTAGGACTCTGTTGCAGATATGCTGCACTCTGCAGTCAGAGGGCTGTCAAGAGCAGTGCTCACCTGCAGAAGGGAAACAAAATTAGATCCTCCACACTTTTTATTATTGCAAGGAAAGTGTCTGTATGTACAACTTCAAATTAATTTTTTAACCGAGAAAATTTTATATGTAAAGAGTAATTCACACTCTATTAACCTCTGATTATTGGAAGCCATTGCATTGTCCTAACTTCCATAAATACCTATATATTCAAGGTATTTTTCTTAATTACCTCCATTTTTGCATTTGTCCAACGAGGCACTTCTACAATCATATTAAACAGGACCTAAAACAAAAAATAATGACAGAACTGAAAACAAAATCCACTTGGCAATTAGTATTTTATAGTAAGACAAATTATCTCCTCTGTTTTCAGCAGCAACATCTCTCTATCCCAGCTGCTTTTACGTTAAGTACAACTCATTTAGTTCCGCACAATGATGATCAGCCTCCTTGGTTCATGCTTTCCCCACTCCATCCCTTTGAGAATATGAGCAACTAATTACAAGTAGTGGAAATCCACATGATGTTTTCTATTCCTGTATCAATATTACTCCTCACAAAATGTTCAGAAAGTCCATGGAATGGTTTGCCCCAAGACAGTGGTTTAGTCTACTAGTCAAAGAGGACTGGACGTTTCTATGAGGACAGAGTTAGCCTTCCTCAAGAACTGGAAAGGACAATCTTTTTTTTTTTTTCCTCTGAGGATTTTTTTTCTTCAGGTCCTCCTCTTTTGCCTCATTTTTTTAAAAACCATGCAAATGCAACCACCACTGACATTTATGATTCTCAGTCAAATCTGGCTGAAGTGAGGCCAAATTAACCCAAAAGTGATAGCAGAAGCAGGACATGGACACAGATGCTTCATGTTTGTGTTAGCCTTCTTCCTAACAGAAACAAAGCGAAAGTTGTTTTAACAAAGGGGGTATGGGGTGAATATTCTTAATGAAATGATCTTAAAGATCTTTTCCAAACTAAATGACACTATGATTCTATGGAAAATAAGTAATCTATGCCCTTCTTACTGAGGAGGTTAAAGTGACATTTTCCAAAGAGAAGAACTCTCTGTGTAACCGCTGTAAGGTTTCTTTTTCTTCTGAAGCTGTCAGAGTTAAACACTACGAAGGATTAGAGTACTAATCGAAATGGGTTACTGGACCAAGCCACCCAGCAACCTCTTTTCTCCTAGATTACTAAAATAACCCCAAAATATCACACTGCCTGGGACATCTCTTCATAGCCAGAGAAAATCCCAATGGTTCAGGAAGGACAAAATACATTTTTGAAGAAAATATCAAGTTAAACCAACTGAAGACTTGCACTGACTCTAACTACACTGCAATCAAGGCTTCAGAAAACTATTAAATATTTGTATTTTTTGTTCCTTGTATCCTGCAGCTGCAACAAACAAATACCATTACCAGGGTCAATGTCACAGTCCGAATAAAGTAATTCCCATGGTTCTATGATCTTCTCCTCCCAAACAAACCTGGAACATGTAAAGCAAGAAAGCAAAGGAAAATCCCAACACTTGTTCAGCATTTCTCCCCTGAGATCACAAGCTATGCACAATCCTGACAGCAAATTCCCAGCAAATTTAAATTAAATTCGCCACCTATAGGTACTGTGCCGATACGGCAATCATTGGCACGTCAGATGGAATCACTTTTCCCAATCATAGCCAAATAAAAAAAAGGGGGTGGCGGAGCAGGAAAGAGAAAGGTGATTCAGATCCATTTCATAAAGTACACCTTATGTATATAAGAATGTTTGAAACGGAGAAGTAATCAGAAAGACAGCTCAAAAATGTCAACATTAAGGAAGCAGACAGAACAAAGCAACATACATGCAGCAGCAGGTAAGGGAAAGTTTGGAAGAGAACCAAATAAAGTCTGCACATCCATCTGGGAAGCACTTGGAAAAAAAAGCAATGCATAGCATGAAAGCCAGTGCTGACAAGAAACTCTTAGGGAACTGCCAAGCAGGTCAAAGAATTGTTCTGACTGGTAGCTACAGGCAGAAAACTTACAAACTACTCCTGGAATTATACACGTTGTCCTCCCCTCCGCCACAACCCTGTATTTCCATTGTTTGTATATGCCACTGTATATTTTCCTGACCAAGTCTAATACAAAGGCTTCAGCAGCCTGTAAATCTTGGTTTTGAGCGTTAATTGGTCACAAGTTATTCTAGGTCTTCACCAAAACAACTCTCTGGGCTGGACAACAACTGGACTGAAATTAATACAATGCTGCTCTTAAAACAAAAAAAATCACTTGGATTTAACTTAGCTCTAAGACCAGGCCTTCGTAATTTGTGGTATCAGTCCAATGTGAATTGTGAAGAGTCTTAAATGTGACAGCCTGACAGATTAATTCATATGCAAAAATATCGCCGAAAGTACTTTCTCTAATGCTAAGCTGCCACAAGCATTTACAAGAGATTAATAACTTCATGCAGCGCTTACATTTAAAAATAAAAAGTTTTATTTATAGGGCAATCACATTTTCACAGTGATGAGACAAGATTCACTGGTCTGGAAAGGAAAGCACATACTAGCAAATCTGACAGATGGAAAGAGAGAAGACATAATACTCCTCTGGCTTTTTAGGGTCTTTTTCCTCCTCTTGCCTATCTTGTTTCCCTCCTTGCCTAAATGTCACCCAGGAAGATACCCACCACTCTTATTTTCCCACACCAAGCATCTATTCCTTCTGACCTCCCGAATGTCCTCCCCCATCCCTTGCTGCAAAACCATGCCTGCCTCAGCTGCAAACAGAAATGCAAGTGTCAGACACCACCTGTCTTCATAGATTACCATCTGCATATGCCATTCAGTGGTTAGTTTTGGATGGTGAATGCATCTGGTAATTGCTATTTTTATCTTTATTTTGTATCAGTAAAACAAAAAAATTCCACCTCACCAAACCCTGAAGTGAGCACTTCTACCCCCTCAAGCAATGATGAGACTGTTTCAACAGCCCATTTAACACACCTTCCAGTGACAGAAAAAGAAAAAAGATCTCTCATGAAACAAAAACTATTGCTTTTGAAAGATTACCATTTAACTGCCCTAGTCTGACAGCAGTCAACTGGTCTGCCTATGAGATCGCTGCTTGCTGCAGTCCAGATTTAATCCAACTCTGCAGGTGCCTAATGTAGAAGGGACTCCACGACAGCAGCCTGTACAACAGGCCAGATGGACGAGTTCCTGCAGGCTAGCCTCATGCCAACTCTGCTGGCTAACAGCGTCTTCAGAAGGACGGTTTCCTGGAGCGTGCACACGCAAAGAGGAGGAAACAGTTTCCTCGATTCCAAAAAAGGGACAGAACCCATCCGCTGCGGAAAGTGACCTGACAGAGCCCAGAGGGACTTTCAACCCAGGGTATTACGTAGCTTGTTTGACTTTGGGTTAATGTGAACACACGACAAACATTTGTACTTGTGCTCTATTATACCTTGAGGAGCTTAACACAGAGAAGTCAAAACATGAAAATCAGCAGAAAGTGACATCAGAAGGAACAAACAGTCTGTCTAAATGATACCGTTTATTTCTTAAGAACTTCATGCTAAGTACATTACATGGGAACTCTGGTAGGATGTAAATAAGTGTTTGCTTAATTGGAGTGTTTTCTTTAACACAGCTTGGCAACTTACTGCATTCCATTTCAGTTGAACATCATCTTTAATGTATCATGATATCATTTTTGCTGAGACAAGCAAAAATTGTCTCACACAGAGAATAGGAATAGGTATTGTTTTTTTGAAACTAGAAAACCACAGAAAGATAAAAAAATACAGAAATATACTTTAATATATTCATACAGCAAGTGTTGAGAAAAGCAATGAAAATACAGATCGTTGTACCTAGGTGAACTGTGAGTCAACATTCTCTCCACTAAGACTGATGGCAAAAAATAACCACTAGCTCTGGCTGTACAGATTCTTATGGAAGATAACTCATTTTGATCAGGGCTTGTTATTACAAACCTGAATATCACAGGAAGGAAAAAAAAAAATTTAGCACATTTCTGGCATTATTTTTACAACCTATCCTCCTGGACTCCCACACACCCTTCTCCGAAATAATTTTTCCTTACCTAACTTTCCCTTTCTGGTTCAACGATTTCCTTTCCCCAGCTCCCCAAGTTCCTTCGCTAGTGCATTTGAGGGGAGGGTTTGGAATAGGTATGATTTTGCCCAAGGGTCGCAGTACTTCATGCTCCACTCTGAAGGTTCAGCTAATTTGAAGCAGAAGTGGAGCAACATATGCAGAGCGAGGAAAGTGACAAAACAAGACAGATAAAGAGAGGAACAGAAACTCAGTATAATTTCATAAAATGCCAAACATCATCACTCACTATCACCCTTGCATGACAGGGAGAAGTGATATGCTAAAGCTTACAATTAGTCATTTTTATAGTAGTGTTCAAAAAAAACCCGTCTGAAAGCATTAGAGGCAGCATTTGGAGGGCTACTGACCCTTCCTCACTGAGAAGCTCTGAGCTCACAAGACAGAGAGAAGAAACAGCAGCTGTCATTTCTATTTCTTTGCTGTCTGCTCATTTGCAGTCTTGCGGGGATTCTTACCTGACATCAACTGAACATGGCAGCATGCACCTGAGGACTAACGAGAACGAAAAAGATGAGCTGCAGTCCAGCAGCAGTGTGAACAAAGGATGATGTTTAAAAGGAAAAAAGAAAAACAAAAAAAGGGAAAAAAAGGAGAAGCAAAAGAAGGGCTGTCATGAAATGCAGCAGAAATAAATGGAGAGGGGCTTGCTTATCAAATGCTTGCCCATGATATAAGCACTCCCAGTGTTACACTTCCTACAAGGTATTTGCTAATGAAAACAACAAACTAGATGCCAGCAACATCTGGAGACCAAATATACTGCATCTAAATGAGAAGTCAATGGAACTTTTCCAATATAAATTAACATGCCACATAGCAAAAAAGGAATGCAGTGTCCAGCATAAATGCAGAGTACCTGCAGCCTCTTCACAATCTACTTCCCTCATGTTATAGTGACAAGGGAATCATAAACACTATGTAAGTTTTTACCCACAGGTATCCCAAAAGTGGCGTCAGACTTACTCTCCGATACACTAGTTACTGGACACATTCACCTGCAAAACTACTCAGTGTAGAACCATGACACAAATGAAAATGAAACACTGACTTTCTCAAGTTTAAGGAACCATTTATTTGAAGTTAAGCTTCACCAAATCACTGATGCAACTTTCTCAGTAAACCAACTCTACTCCAGTAGATTTTAACTGGAC